GTGGGTATAGATTTTATTTTATTTTATTTTTTTCAGTCAGTTTTGGGAGAGACAACACAAATACTGATGCTCATGACAGATGTGTGGCATCAGGACACCCTTCAACACCTCTGGCTCATAATGTGAACAACACAAGAGGTGTTCAATCTCTAGAAAAATACTTGAAAAATTATGGGGAAAATGACTGTGTTTTTTTTTTTTCTTTTACTGTACAGGTATACTCATTTGTGTTTATGGTAATCCTTTTCCAAGTTGATGCAGTTCTGAAACCCCACAAAGCTTTTTATGCCTTTGGTTAATGCATTTGGAATCATAGTAGGACAGTTAATATTATCAATATGACTTCATTATTTAATGTATTTTACATTTACTCAAATTTTAAATAAATTGCTTATTAGTGAGCTGTATAATCCCCAAAACTAGAATCAAGTGTTCCTCAAGCATCCTAAATAAGAAATGTGACTCTAATTTTATTTAGAATAAATCTACCATATGGTGGTATTATTTGCTAAGGTTTTGTAGATTACCAAATAAATTACTTTCTGGGTACTTTTTATTAAATTCTGATTCTAAATACCAAAGGGTGTATTTTCAGGTGCTCATTGTAAACTTCACGGAGATCAGACTGAATTTTATACCACTTCTAATAGGGTCAGTATACATCTGTGTTATGTTGTCAACAAGTTAGGATTATTTTTTTGTTAACTTAAATAGCATTAAAGTTTCAATTAGAAGATAATCCTTTTTTTTGTAACAAATTTGATTTTTAAAAGAGCATAATATTTATGGTAGTGGAAGCCCCTGAACAATAGATAGGTATAGATCAGCCTATAATGTGTACTTTTAAGACTTGTTATGATTCAAGTAACTGTCACTTTTGAACTGAGAAAAGTAGGAATTGAAAAAAAGATGCCTTATCTGACTTGGACATTTATAAAAATATATAAAACATACACGTTGGCTAAGGAATTAAGGGTTATTTTTATAATTATAGTGACACTATAGAAAAAGAAATGAAATTAGCATGTTATAACACTGTTACATTTATCTCTCATAAATAATTCAAGTTGATGTAATGGATTGTTTCATCCAATTTGTTCAGCATTAATTTTTTTCATGATGTTTTCAGGTGTTTATTGACAAATTTCAGATTATTGAACTGTAAATTGTTTGAAAGACTTGACAGACTTCTGAATGTCTAAAAGGTACATTGCAGCATAATCAATCTCAGGATTATTACACTTATTCATGACAGCAAAACATCAAATGTGTTTTCTTATTTATGTTTGAAATCCTGATGTGATCAAGTTACAACTTCATTTTCTGAAATCCGTTTCCTCTATAGGGACTAATGCTGTGTTGTAATAGGTAGCACAGTATCAAAGCAAAACCAGAGATGGACTTTGCCATTAAGAAGCTGAAGATAAAAATAGTACAGATAGATTCTGATTCCCATGTAAGGAGCTAATGCCTGAGGATATATAAAGAGAGAGTACAGGGTCCACAATGGAGCCAGTGGGAAGGAGGTTTTAGAGATGGCATCCTGGAAGGGAAAGCATGGTATCTGTGGGAGTTTTGCCACATTAAAGTCACAGAACAGGCAGCCTGAGCAGGTGGACCCACATCTACACAGGCCCTAAGGGTGAAAGTGAATAGAAAATGGCAGTCATCAGTGTAATTGGAGAATGAAATGTGAGGAGAGAAATAATGAATCTGGAGATTTAGAGAGTATCTAGGCGCTGAAGAGCCTTTCTAAAGAAGACGGATAATTCGAGTCTATATTTTATCTTTCTGTCATTTATTCCTTTTCATTAGGAAATAGGAGTTCATATAAAACAAGGTGAAATCTAAAGGATTTTTGTCTTTAATGGATTTTATATCTACCCCAGTTCATCTCATTGAACATTCAAACATGCTTTAGAACCTGTGGTGGTTTTACTTAAGGAAATTAGGACAAATGTTATTTGTAGATTAAATGTGTTATTTGTTCCCAGTGGAAGTCTGGCTCTGTTCATTATATGTCAGAAGAGGAGTGATTATTGTAATTTTTTTTGAAAAATTTTTCTTAGTTAAATCTTATGAATACTTGCTAAGGAGATATGGAATTGAGTCAGTTTTAGAAATTTTAATGCTGATCCAAATGCAAGAAATCCTTCTTAAAAGGCCAAGAATTATTTCAATATACATCAATTTTGAAGTACTTAAGTCATCATGGTGAATATCTTGGCATTAATGCATTTAAGGCCATAGGTTCACAACCAGCTGCAAGTCATTATGGTTTATAATGCTCTAATTAGGACACAGTTGTTCAGTAGGCACTGAATGGAAACTGAAATAAATGCTGCATATAAATGAAAAAAATCAGAGCTAAGAATGATGCTAATTAAAACATTAAGAATAAAATCATGGAAAATGTATTATTCATTGTCTCTAATTTGGAAAATGTAAGCTGTGAGGACAAGACATTTTTATTTGTGAAAAATAAGAGTTCCATTTATATTTAAAGCTTTCTTCAATGAAGACCTTATAGGAACACTGAAATGCTCAGGTGTGGCTCATGTACAGTTTAGATTTAAACTCAAATTCATGTGGAGGTAAAAGAAACCTTATACGGTGTTGGTGGAAATGTAAATTAGTACAGTCATTTGAGAAAACTAGAGAAGTTCCTCAAAATATTAAAAATAGATTGACTATATGATTTAGCAACTCCATATCTGAATATATATCCTAGGGATCTGAAATGAGAATTTCAAAGAAATGCCTTCACGTCTGTTCATTGAAGCATTATTAGTAATAGCCAAGATATGAAACAAAAGGATGAATGGATAAATAAAAAATGTGGTATATATATATATATATATATATATATATATATATATATATATATATATATATATATATCATGATATGCTATTCAGCTTTAAATGAGAAGGAAATTCTATATTTGCAACAATGTAGATGAACCTGGATTACTTTATGCTCAGTGAAATGAAAGAAGCCAGCACAGAGAAATAAATGCTATGTGGTCTCACTACAATTGGCATTTTAAAAAGTCAAACTTGACGAAGTAGGGGATAGAATCGGAGTTACTAGAGGTGACAGTTGGAATGGGTGGCATAGGGAATGGGGAGATGTGCAAAGGGTTGGTTACAAATTTTCAGTTATACAGGAGGAATGTATTTCAGGAATCTGTTGCATGGCATGGTGACTATAGTCAATAGTAGAGAAGTATGAACTTCAAAATTTAACATTTTAAATGTTCTCACACGAGAGATGGTGGATATATTAATTAGCTTGATTTAATCATTGCACAAAGTAAGCATATATCAAAATATCATGTTATACTATATAAATATATACAATTCTTCCTTGTCCAATTAAATAAATGCTATGTGATCTCACTAGCAAATTAAAAATAAAGTCAACTTTAAAGATTAACTCAGATTCAGTGATTGCAATGAAAAAATCATCCATTAAAATCTTAAAATGCAAATGTGTCAAACTATATTGTTTGAAATTATATCTGAGAAAAAATATTCTCCATTTTCATGTCTTCCTTCTTCAAGGAAATGAAAGTTTTTTTTTTTTAATTAATCAATTCTCCTATCTATAAGGATAATGAAGTGGAGGGTTTCTAATATTATATATTTATTAGTGTTTAGTCAGGCAGATTTGGTCACAAAAAACAATAAAATGAAACAGAGTCCAATTCAAGTGGACAAAGGGGGATTGGACAGTGCATTAAAAGGTTAAGTGAAATTTTAAAGCAAAGCGAAACAAAACAGAAGCACATCATGGTACATTGTGAAGCCCAGTGAAAAGTAGCAGCCAGCAGAGTCCTGAGATTGACTCTAAACTAGGAATCCCTGAAGAGGAAGCATGATTTGGTTCTCACTCCAGTGCATGCAGTATATACCAGGCTTACCTGAGCCAACCTTGAAGTAGAGATGGTTTAATTTCTTATTCCTGCTTGCTTGTTAGCCGAGTGACTTCAGATGAATTACTTCTGCGGTAAAACGCCCAGTTTTCATTCCGTGCCCAGTGAACCATTGTGTCCTAATTAGAAGTTTTACCTACTTCTAGAGTAAAAGGAAAATCTGTGGAAAATATTTAGTACAGCAAAAGTTGGTTAACTAGAGCTGCTGTCTTCTTCTCCTTCTTCTACCTCTGATTGATCATCAGCACCCTTGTGTACTGACGCTGATATGGCGCTCATAAATTTTTTGTTTTAGATTCCCTCAGTATATACTCTCACTTTTCTTAGGATTACCAACTGATTTAGCTTTCATGCAAGTCTTCAAATTATAGTTGTGTTTGCCTCATACGTTTAACTTTTTTATAAGCTTACCCTGTATCCTTTGTGGTTTAATTTCTTCTGTTAATAGCCTGATTATTTCTGAGCTTCCTAAATCGAACAACAAAGAGACGAATTTATCCTAATCATTTTTTTTTCTCAAAATGGAGATCTCAGTGTCTGGCTATACCTTTGTCTGATCTTTGACCCTGTTATGCTTCTGTCAATAACCTGCTGAGTCACATAGTTTAAAAAAAAAATGGCTTCATCTGGTGTTCTCCTACACAGGCAATGCTGGAGCATTTACTTAGCAATAATCATAGCTGTCACATGCTTCCTCCCTCTAATTAAGCACACGTAGAAAATTAAGATTCAATGATTTGCCAAAATTATGAAATCAGTTGTGAGTAGTTAGTCTGGCTCTTAAATAAATGATCTCATGTCACCCAACCTAATACACTTTTGAGTATACTTTAAGTATTTTTGGTTACATCAACGTTTTTTACCATTTGAAATTTTTGTAAAATATTGTATCACTTTTGTATTTATAAATTTAAAAGATTCTTAGGTATCAGAATTTAATCATTTATTGTTTTGGTATAACCCAAATTCTATGCTGTGCCTTGAAATGCAATATTTTGTTTTACTAGGTCTTATTTCTAATTGTATTCTATTGACTTGTTCTTTTTCTTTTAACTTTTCTCAGGTTGCTAAGTTGGCTATCCCCGTGCAAGCCTTGGAGTCCCAATGGGGGACTCAGGATCAAGAAGATCTACCTTGGTCTCACGGTTGCCAATATTTAGAAAAAGTATTAGCAGAAGACATGACTCTCTTCCTTCTTCACCCTCTTCCAGCAATACGGTTGGTGTCCACAGTTCTTCTCCTTCCAGCACTAACTCAAGCTCAGGTAGTACAGGAAAACGCAGGAGCATATTCCGAGCTCCTTCCATCAGCTTCCACCATAAGAAAGGGAGTGAACCTAAGCAAGAACCCACTAACCAGAACCTTAATATTTCAAATGGTGCTCAACCTGTTCACAGCAATATGCAGAAACTGAGTTTGGAAGAACATATTAAAACCAGGGGAAGACATTCTGTGGGTTTTAGTAGTTCACGACATAAGAAGATAACAAGATCCTTGACAGAGAATTTTGAAAGGGAAAAGGAGCACTCAACTAATAAGAATGTCTTTATAAATTGTCTAAGTTCTGGGAAAAGTGAGGGAGATGATTCTGGATTCACAGAAGAACAAACTCGCCGTTCTGTTAAGCAGTCAACAAGGAAGTTACTCCCTAAATCTTTTTCATCTCACTATAAATTTTCTAAGCCAGTTCCACAGAGCCAATCCATTTCGTTGGTACAACAGTCTGAATTTTCACTTGAAATTACACAGTACCAAGAGAGAGAACCTGTGTTAGTAAGAGCTTCTCCATCTTGTTCTGTGGATGTAAATGAACGGGCAGGAAGCTCTTTGCAATCTCCTTTGCTTTCTGCTGATCTTACCACAGCCCAGACACCTTCAGAATTTTTAGCCTTGACTGAAGATTCTGTATCTGAAGCAGATGCATTTCCTAATAGTGGAAGCTTAGCATCCCACTGTGACAATGGTGGCCCCAATGACCCTACCTCTCAGAGCTCTCCCAAACCTGCTGCTGTTACAAAGACAACAATAGAACTTATGGGAGCTGTGCCTGGTGCAGTTATGTCTCCTGGGAAATACAGGTTAGAAGGTCGATGTAGCACTGAATCTAATTCCTTATCAGAAACCTCTGCTGCTAATCAAAAGGAAGTGTCATTGCAAATCACTGAGCTACCGGTTAAGAATGTGAACAACTCAGAGACTCACCTATCAGTAGATACTCAAAGAGAAGAAAATATGCCATTACAAAATGGTGAATCAATGCCAAGGACAGGCTCTCCAAGGAAACTTGGATTCTATGAGCAACATAAAGCAATAGCTGAACGTGTTAAAGGGACTCATCCTATTTCAGATTCAAGGATAATACCTTCTTCTGGTGATCATCACATTTTAAACAAAACATCCTATGGTTATGAAGCAAGTACAGCCAGAGGTATGCTGCTTTTCTTTGTATAATACATGATGTGAATCAATGTTCATTATAATGTATTCAATTTTCTCACTTTATCTCATGTATCCACATTTTCTTCATTTTTTCACTCTACATTTCTTCTCCTTTGTTTTAAATGCTGCTGCTTCTTAATTTTAAATTTACCTCAATTATATATATTAAAAGCATAACTCATTAATACTATTCATTTTCCTCTACTATGTTACTCAGATTCTAACCTCCAAAGAAAGTGGAAGGAAATTAATTCTGTTTGTAATGTGACTTTATGTAGAATAAAGGCTGTCTTTTTTTTAATAATCCACTATGAAGTTATTGGTATTTCATAATTAGTGAAATGAATATATTTCATCCAAACTCATTATACATTTTTATGCTTTAAATTCTGTTGCTTATGTTAACAAATGTTTATTAACTAGGGCACATGATTTGATATAAATCATCCCTATCTCTTGACAAGAATTAATTGCAAACTTTAAAAGTAAGATTCATGGAGCATACAGCCCCTGCCTGATTTTGACCCTGTCTCTAAAATTAACTAGATGTGCAATCTGGCACTCATTCTCTTTAGTTTAAAAGAAAGGGTGTGTGTGTGTGTGTGTGTTGTGTGTGTGTGTGTGTGTGTGTGTGTGTGAGAGAGAGAGAGAGAGAGAGAGAGAGAATGAATTATCCCAGTTTGACTCCAGAAAACTTGGTTATTAAACATAAAATTCAGTTCAAGAAAACTTTTGGGTACTTCCTGTATACCCAAAAATGTGCTAAGAAATTTGCATATACTATTTTATTCAATGTTCACAAAACTTTCATACAGAGTTATTGATAAAAATTTATAATTGATAACATTACCAAGTCACTTTGTTAGCAAATTTGTTGAAATGCAGGCAGTTAAAAAAAAATCACACAAGTACCCTGATCTGAGCATTACACATTATATGCATGCATTGAAATGTCACTGTGTACCCCACAAATACATAGAACTGGTATAAAAATAAATTTTCTTTTGGTGCAAAAAGAAAGAAAAAAGCACCAAAACATAGAAATATGATTATATACCAAATATATATCTTACATATCAAATTCTTATTTAGCGGTGATGACTTGCCTCAATGTATAATTCAATACTGTGCTTTTTTGTCTCTGTGTAAACTAGGGAATAAGCAGTGATGATCTTGGTGATTATTTATCTGTTTGTTAAGAAAATGGATTTAAGACATTTAACACATTAAAATAATTTGACAATGTGTTACCTGCTCTTGTACAGATATTCTGGTAATATCAACAAGGAAAAGATGATATTCTACTATTTTTTATTTGTGAGAATATTGAATATTGATGTGCTCATCTTCATAAGGATTTTGTAATTTGGGACTTAAAAATTTTAAAATCAGTTTTAAGTAAATGTGTTTCAGGCAAGAAAGATGCTGCACACACTCAGTTCCATATACTAAATTTATTTTGTATTTGTTATGAAACATATAGTTAAGCTACTATATTATATGTACCTGAGTGTCTTAGATGTCCTATTAGTACTATTAATAATGAAATTAAATTTTATTCATTAGTTTTAAACTTATTTTAAAAAATTGCTATATTAGTCTAATAGGTTTTGTTAAAAAATGTTTTAACTAGTAGATGACCCTAAATAGAACAGTTAGTTTATTAATTTCTTCATTCAATAAGTATAGTTTTGACACTTTTTGTTTTCTGGAATCAAATGTGGAATTTTTTAAAAATTTATTTTAATTAGGTGTATATGACAGCAGAATGCATTTTGATTCATTGTACACAATTGCAGCACAACTTTACATTTCTCTGGTTGTACACGATGTAGCATCACATCATATGTGCAGTCATACATGTACCTAGGGTAATGATATCCATCTTATTCCACCATCTTTCCTACTCCCATACCCACACTCCACCCCACCTTTGTTTTGCCTCATCAAAATTCCCTCAGTTTTTCCATGTCTTTCCTATTGTGGATCAGAATCCATTTATTAGAGAGAACATTTGGCCTTTGGATTTCTGGGATTGGCTTACTTACCATCAATTTACCTGCAAATGCCATAATTTAATTCTCTTTTAATGCTGAGTAGCAGTTCATTGTGTGTATATACCACAGTTTCTTTATCCATTAATCTATTGAAGGGCATCTAGGTTGCTTCCACAGTTTAGCTACTGTGAATTGAGCTGCTATAAACAATGATGTGGCTGAATGCTATAGTAATGCTATAGCATGCTGATTTTAATTCCTTTGGGTATAGACCAAGGGGTGGGACAGTTGGGTCAAATGGTGGTTCCATTCCAAGTTTTCTAAGGAATCTCCATACTGCTTTCCTGATTGGTTGCGCCAATTTGCAGTTCCACCAGCAATGTATGAGCATGCCTATTCCCTCACATTATTGCTAACATTTATTGCTATCTGTATTCTTGATAACTGCCATTCTGAATGGTGTGAGATGAAATCTTAGAGTAGTTTTGATTTGCATTTCTTTAATTACTTGAAATGTTGAACATTTTTTCATATGTTTATTGATTGAATGTATATCTTCTAAAAAATGTCTGTTCAGCTCCTTAGCCCATTTATTGATTGGGTTGTTTGTTTTTTTAGTGTTAAGTTTTTGAGTTCTTTATATATCCTGAATATTAGTGTTGTATCTGATGTACATGTGGCAAAAATTTGCTCCCAAAATGTAGATTCTCTCTTCACCTCATTGATTGTTTCTTTAGCTGAGAAGCAGCATTTTATTGTGAGTATATCCCATTTATTAATTCTTGATTTTGTTTCTTGCTCTTTAGGAGTCTTGTTAAGTTAAATTGTTTTTAGCACTAGCAATACAACAGGCAGAAGTCTCACCTTCATGAAGCATATTTTCTACTGTGGATACTCAGACAATGAAAGTGCATATAAATAAATGTCATATGTTAATAATGGCTGAGTACAAGTTTTAAAACAGAATAAAGGACTGGGATTGGGAAGTGAGGTTGAGGTTTGCCTTTTTCAACATGACAAGAAGGGTGGCACCTAAGGTAGAATATTACAAAGATTTGAATGAAGTTAGAGCAAGCCATGAAGATATTTGAAAGAAATATATTTATGTGAGGATCACAGGTCTAAGGATGTAGGGCTGGAGCCTGAGGTGTTCCAAAAACCTCCAGAAGCTCATGTGGCATAGAAGAATGAAGGGTACAGGGTGGGGGGGATTTGAGGCCGAGCATCTCAACAGGACAGGCCCTAGTGTGAGGATGATGAAATGGGTCATGGCTCAAGGAACCAGGCAGGCCCTTTGGAAAGCTTTATGACTAGAGGAATGATGATGGTGGAGCTTCCTGTGTTAAGCAACATGGTTCTGGCCACCATGTGAAAGCTGGTTCTGGCCACCATGTGAAAGCAGGTTTGGTGTTGGGGATGCAGAGAGGCAGGTGCGAGTACGCAAGATAATTTTAGGGAGTATTATGCTAATTTCCAAGGGAACATCTATAAAAACTCAGTTTATATATTCATATTAATATATTCATATTAATTATTTTTCTTTTACTAGTTCTTGCCAGTAGCCTCAGTCCATATCGGGAAGGAAGGTTTATAGAGAGGCGACTCCGGTCTTCATCAGAAGGAACTGCAGGGAGTAGCAGAATGATTTTGAAACCAAAAGATGGAAATGTAGAAGAAGTAAATAGTTTAAGAAAGCAAAGAACGAGTTCCTCATCCTCAAAAATGAACAGTATGGTAAGTGTATACATATGGATGCAAATAATAAAATACTGCTTTATATATGTCTTCAGGTTTTTGCTTCTTGCAAAAAAATACACTGGCTGAAGGGTAGATATGTATTATTTGAAGGGAAAGTTGATCTCTATAGTTGATGTCACAAATCAGAGTCATTTCTCACTTGAGATTTCTACGGGGCAGAACAGATAGGTGCATACCATGACAGATCCCCTTTAGTTCTTGTCTTCTGTGCTTCCATGGGAAGTTTGCAATTCTTCATTTTAGAACAAGACCCAAAGATACACAAGGTAAAAAAAAACACTGATTGTGAGGATAGCCTCATTTCCCACTATAAAATGTAGTTTCATAAAACACACTTGCACTCATACCACCTTTAAGCCGTTTAGTCATCTCTCCTGTAGTGTAGCCAGGGTGCGCTACACGGGGTGCCGAGTCTGTGGGGGCCAATCCAACATGCCTATCTGAAGTTCGAACCCACTGCAGGTAAGTGAAATACCAGATTCCTGGTCCAAGCTATAGAGCCTGCGTTTAGGATGGGGTGTGTATGTTGGGTGTGGTCTGATCTTACACTTGTGGGGTGGGATGTTATATGAGTATGCATAAGAAGCTCCCTCACAGAATAAGGTGGAGTTGGGGAATGGGAATAGCTGAGGCTTGAACTTCATTCCATGGGTCAATGAGGACTTGTGTCTCATCTATGTTTGGATAAGTTTGCCTTTTTGGAATTTGTTTTGCTTGTTTTCTTGCAAATGTGTCCTTTTTCAGCAGTATATTTTACTCCTGTTGTTTAACAGCATTTCTTTAAAATTATTTACCTACCTACATACCTGCTTACCTCGATCTACCCATCCATAGATATTTGTTGAAAAAGCTAATAAATAAATCACTTATAATATCTCTATGTACCTTAGATAATATAGTTTCAAATGAAAATTCTAGGTAAGTTATACATGATGATTGTATTATGCAGAATCCTTCAGTTAGTATGGTTACCTTGAGTTTTAGCAAAAGCATTCTGCTTGAAATTGGAAGTTATAGTTATTATTTGGGCTTCACCATTTCTTAATATTGGTCAAACAAGGAACTAATGAACAGCCAAGGATATTGGGCTTCCTGGTTACATTGTACGAAAAGATTATAATGGGTTTACATTTGAACATAGTAAGATAGTAAATTGTTTTTCTTTTGTACATTGAAAGTGTTATATCCTTATTGTTGTAGTTGATTTTTTTAAAGTATGAGAATATGTTTAAAAAAGATTTTCATTTGATGAAACCCAAGAAGTTAGAGATAATTGGGAATTATTAAACATTTTTTTCTTCAGATAATTTACATTATTTCTTTATATGGAAGTATTTATATTGATATGTACAGTATAAACTCCTCTTGCTCAAAGTTGAAACTTTTATGTATTCTCATATATCAGATGTTTTTCTTACACCACGTGATTTAAATAATTGCCATTGTAAAAGCGAAAAATCACACTTCTTCTCAATTCCACTTCCGAGATTTACAACTGAAAATGTCAAAAAACATAGAAAGTGATTTTGTTTTTTTGTTTGAACCCTTGTTTAAAATTTTCAAAAAGTGTTCCTGCAGAGTTACAGTCATTCCACTAGATGGCAGTATTACACCATTGCCATGTGGTTGACTAGAAACCTGGGGTGAAGGTATTGAACCTGTTCTCTCAGTTTATGGTTTGTACTAATTGAAATAAATACTGACACTTTTGAACCTTAAAATACTTAATGATTTCACTGTTTCCCTTTCTATTTTCCATATACATTTCATTCGTAATTTCCCTTATTATTCAATAGTTAATTTATAATGTGCAAAATATATTATTTTAGCAATGCAAGGAAGAAATGCTAGGAGGCTCTAGGTAATTCTAAATCTGTGTTGAACAAGTGACAAGTATGTAGGAAATCATAGCTTTATATGTGAAAAGTGACACATTTTCTATATTCCTCTTCCAAAATAGCTCAAGCAACTGTACATACTTGAGAATGAATCTGTGGTTTAGTTATTATTTCCTTTTAAAGAAATAATAACAGGTGTTTTAATGTTTATTAGTGTCAAGGGACACTTAATGCTTTGAACATTGAGTCCTCATAGAATTACTATGGACTAAGTCTTACTGTTTTAATCAAGTTTTGCAAAAGCCAAAAGATAAGACACTATGAAGATAAATAACTTTCCCAAAATCATATAGATAGTAAATGCCAGAGGTCGGATATGGCTTTTTAAGTTTAAAAACCTACAGGCTTTTTTAAACCTACAGGCTTTGGGGAGAATGTATTAGCTTTAAAATTAATTTCAAGCACTTTTTAATTTTGTTCTGTTAATTCTGTTGAATTAACAGAACATGAAATTAACATGTTTATTTCCCAGCAGCACCAAAAAAAAAAAAAGAAAAGAAATTAACATGTTTAAGGCAACCTATGCTTGTGTCAGTCTATACTCTAACCCTCTATAACAGATAGAAAAAAACGGAAAAATTAATACTTATTTTGAACTTAAAATATACTAGTATTTCTTAATATAGTGATGAGTGCATCAGTGTCTCTACTGAAATATATAACATCAAATGTGGATATGCATACCAAGGTGGAATTCCAGTCCTTTGTACAGTTCATGGGATGTCAGATATGGGTCTGTTAAGATGCCAAGGTGTTCCTGCATGGCAGAAGATACACTATAATGGATTAGATGCATGAAAATTCTAGTGTTTTTGTATACTTGTGGGATATTGCAATCTAGAAGAGAAAGGGCACATTGAATTAATTTATAAAATGTCAGTGGCCCAGAAACAGCTGGAATTTGCTTAATTTTTTTTACAGGGAAAATATATCTAAAACTATTTAATAGACATTCACATTTATTTAATTTTTTTTTTCAAAGAAACCACTATAGAGACTTTTCTTTATTTTTATCTAAGGAGAAACTTTCTCAATACTTTCCATAGGATTGTCTAAAAAAAGCTCAAAGAGCTTTTCTAGAAATAGGGTTTTCTTCTTTTTTCTTTCTTTCTTTCTTTCTTTCTTTCTTTCTTTTTCTTTCTTTCTTTCTTTCTTTCTTTCTTTCTTTCTTTTTCTTTCTTTCTTTCTTTCTTTCTTTCTTTCTTTCTTTCTTTCCCTTCCTTCCTTCCTTCCTTCCTTCCTTCCTTCCTTCCTTCCTTTATTTCTTTTTTTCTTACAAGCTTTCCCTTTGAACTCTGATTTATAAATGAATAAGCATAAGGTTTTGTTATGGTTTCACAAATTTCATTACACAGTGAATTCTCACTCTGGATATTTGCAGGATCACCCTGTCCTGATTTTTTTAAAAAAATAATAATGTGAGGGTAAATTCATAAATAATGAGCAATACAAAGGAACTGACATTCAAGGCAGGAAAGTGCCTGGATTGTGATAATCTTGATTAAATGATAAAAAATAAGCTTCAAGTCTTAGTGACTTTATAATATGCATTTATTTCTCACTCGAGTTATATGTTCATGGTGAAAGGTGCCAGGGGTTCTGTTGTGTCTCTTTGCTCTGTTTTCAGAGTAGCTGTCAAAGCAGCTACTATTGTTAACCTTGCCTTTTACCATGGTAAAATATAAAGAGACTCTGGAGGTCCTGATAATAAAATGCTCTGACCTATGAAAGTCACTTCATTTCTGCTCACAACTCATTGGTCAGATCTCATCAGGTGTCCCAAATTAGACACAAAAGAGGCCATGCAATCTCTCCTTGTGTCTGGAAGGTATAGACTTGATTTGTGTTTGGTGAGCACCAATGACTATCATTTCAACTATTTTTTGTATCTCCATTTTTTAATTCAGTGATATTTCCTGCAGGCCTCTTCCTTACCTGTTGTCCAGTCATTGAATGCCTCACACTGGGTTGGTCATTTGTTGTTGAAAAAGATGAAATCACATCTGAAACTGAAGGATTAATGTATAAGGATGAGTTTTGGTTTTTGGGACGTTCTCTCCTCCCTTCTTAATGTCCTTGAGATGTATACTTTAAATGGACTGAATTTACATTTTTATTTGACTCAAGGAGTCTTACTGTATTTGGAAGTATTTTATTACATTACAAATTTGGTTTGGAAAGTTGATTATCTTTAGTTCACTCAGCAAATGCATTCATAGTGTTGCTCTGAACTGTTGTGCTAAGTGATCCTGACAGCAGTCATTTATGGCCACTTTTGCTCTGATGCAGCATAATTTCCTCTCATTTGCAGTTGGGCATCCTGCTGCCTTTGTGTAGAAACTGTGACTGGCACAGTAAAAACATCAGTCTTAGGAATGCCTTGGTGGAAGTGAGGACCAGATTTATGTTTGATTTTAAAACAAGAAAAAGTAGTTACATACATGTATTTATTTTCTCATGAATATTTTAATGCTTTGGTATGTTGAACTCTAGATAATCACTGTTAATAGTTGAACAATTTAAGACTAATTAATCAAGCACTATTTAGGAGACTCAAGCAATTTATTATGCATATGCTTTTTTTCTGGGCCCTGTGGGTTTTTTTTTCACTTATTAGCTTATCCTTTGTTCATTACTATCAGTTCATTCATGAATTCAGAGTTTCTTTAATAAATACTGATTGAGAACTTATTCTGATGATACAAAGAAGAGTCACTTGAGGATTTTAGAGTCCTGAGATAAGGAGAAAATAATGTTGACCATGATCTTGTCAATACAACAAATTTAACCATTTTGATACAGTAAAGAGAAAGACACAGAATGAATCTCAATATTAGTATTCCAAATAGCAGTTGAAAAAGACTCCATCTCTACAACCTGCCTGGCAAAAGAATTCCAATGTCCTCATTTGGGATAGGCACCATCACATTTCCATTCTGTGGGGTGAAAGTTGTTCATTAAGAGCAAAAGAAAGATGATGATTATACCTGACTCAAGATATGTCTCCCCTGAATCCTTAAGTCCTTAATGAGAATTTGCAATAAGTAATAATGCTAATGGATGTTGGGGTGTTAAAAT